AATTACATATGTACATGACGAGGAAGGGACAAATAAATGACGATGATGTCTGGGTATCACTTTATTACACGTTTACATGACGTGTAAGGGACAATTACATGACGATGATGACTGGGAATCACTTTATTACATGTGTACATGACGTGTAAGGGACAATTAAATGACAATGATGTCTAGGTATCACTTTATTACACGTTTACATGACGTGTAAGGGACAATTACATGACGATGATGTCTGGGTATCACTTTATGACATGTGTACATGACGAGTAAGGGACAATTAAATGACAATGATGTCTGGGTATCACTTTATTACATGTGTACATGACGAGTAAGGGACAATTACATGACGATGATGTCTGGGTATCACTTTATTACATGTGTAGATGACGAGTAAGGGACAATTACATGCCGATGATGTCTGGGTATCACTTTATTACAGGTGTACATGACGTGTAAGGGACAAATAAATGACGATGACAGAATTTAGTACATGTATGGACCTGCATTAGGGAAAACCTAATGCAATTAAGCTACATCAGTAGCCTCTATACGTCTAGTTAATTGAGAGAGAAAATGTATAAAACTTTTAAGGAAAAACCATTACCCCAAGACAGGAGAAATCACAAAAAAATCATCATATGTGTTGATTTCATTTCATTTCGACCTGACCCCCTAGGAGAACTTTCTCTAATTTCGCAAGAATACGACTTTTACGTTCGCGTTATTATGTGTTTTTACGTTATAACGTTTTTATTTCACGTTATTACTTGTTTTTCCCGTTATTAGTGTTTTGCTTGCGTAATTACTTGTTTGCGTTTTTTTGCGTTATAACGCAGGTTTGTTTTGTGTGTGTAATAACGTGTTTTCGCGTTATTTCGACTTTCAAGTATTTCTATTTCTTATTAGTGACTCTAATAGGCGTTCGTAGAAACGTATTTTAGCGTATTCTCCAATTTTATTATACAACCGATTAGCACATTGATGAATTTGCGCACTCACAATATGCAATAGAATATTTTACATAGAAAAAAACCATTGGCGCGATCATAAATTAACGCTTTGTTAAATGCGCGCAAAGCTCTCAACATAGAGAACCGCTAAAACATTTAAGTTGTTCTATATTGAATGCTTTATACTTTACACCTTTAAGTTGTTCTATATTGACTGCTTTATACTTTACACTTTTTAGCTGTTCTATATTGACTGCTTTATACTTT